CCGCTATACCGACGGCCTGGAATCTGACCAGAGCATTGGAATATCTGCGCGACTTTGCAAGACCGGAGCCACTGAGAATATGGATCGATGCGATATGCATTAATCAGAATAGTCTTGAGGAACGAGCCGAACAGGTTGCCATGATGCGGACTATCTACCACAACGCTTCCTGTGTGCGGGTTTGGATCAATGAACCATCTCTCGACAAAGAGAGTACGGCTGTAGCAGCTCTCAAAAGCTTCAAACTCAGCCCAGAGGCGGAATTTTGTAGCCTGGATGATGAACCCAGCTTCTGGAATCCTCTGGTTCCGATGTTTAATAATGGGTACTGGAATCGTAGTTGGATGTAAGTGGATTAACGGCTGCCTCACTACAGAGTATTAGCTGATGCGGCCGCCTTTATGCTGGTAGACAGCAAGAGGTTCTTAATGCGCGGAAACTAATGCTACACTGCATGAACGTTACTTTCGACGGTATAGCTGTTGCAAGCTTTCAGCAAGCCATAGATAACGTTTTCTGGAAATATTCCCATAACCATATCAGAAAATGGAGCGACCATGCTCTAGTTGAGTTGAGAGGGCCACTAGCCAGGCCTGTTAGCGACGAGATGTTCGCTATTAATGGTGAGGGGAGGCACCGACATCTCCTTTCCTACATTCTTCGCAGGGGTTCTAGGATGGAAGTGTCCAAAGGTCAAGATCGCCTATACGCCCTTATGCACTTAGCTAAAGACTACGAAGAAGGGCGCATTATAGTCAACTACAACAAGACGGTAGAACAGGTAATGGCAGATGCAGCCGCATATCATATTAGCCAGCATCGGAACCTCGACTTTCTCGTTATGAGCTTTCTCGGTAATGAGACTTTCAATCCAACGTGGATCCCACAGTATTGGATGGGACGTGATCCTGAAGGTTTAGCGCTATCGAGGGATGCGGGCCATGGGTCAGAGTACTTTGAATACACTGAGTGTTCTTTGGAATCTGTCGATATGCGCAATCTGAAATTATGCGTCCGAGGTATGAAAGTGGGTTCAGTGCGGCAATGCATCATCTTTGATGTAACGCCCGTAAATAAGATGACTGTGGCCGAATTCTGGAAGTCGTCGCTCGGTGAGTACATACTGCCATACTTTGGGGATACTGATACTGGCCTGCCGCGGGACTTCTCCCGGGCTATTCGCGGTGGGACTTTTGGTCGAAATTATGATCATGAATCTATTCAGGCTGGACTATCGTATCTATGGGAATTTGGAAGGATTCCAGGGCAGGCGGGTCGACTCCTACGCTATGCAGGAGATAACATTCTACATCTGCTGGCCCCGCTCAAGAACAGTAACGAGCCTGCTTGGGCCGCGATTCGAGATGTTTTGCGAAGCTTGTATCACAGATCTGGCATCACAACAGACAGTCAACACTTCGGCCTGATACCAAAATGCAACATAAGAGAAGGTGATGATATTTGGCGAATACTTGGATCTTCTCATTCCGTCATCGTTCGAAGGCAAGCTAGCGGGAGATACTGGCATATCTGCACAGCATACATTCCTGCTCTCGTCGAACACGAACACATGACTCACTTTTCAAGCAAGATCCAGCCTGCAGACAAAATCGGCGAATGGACGGTTGAAGATATTGAGTTGGAATGATCACCATGCGCTCACGCTGAAAAGAGACTGCGCCTTGCTATGAGATCATTCGAAAACATATTCCATTCGAACTATATACAACAAAATTCACCACACTCTTCCGCCAGACTCAACCAATACCCCAATTCTCCACCCAGGCCCATCGGATCATCTATGCCGGAGGCCCAACAAGCGTAGGCATAGGCATAGGCGCTACAAACGATCAGCAACAAACCCGACGCACTACAAGAACACAATCTACTCACAAAAGCCCGGCACACTCCTCGTAGGCCTCGGCATTGGTCCTCTACTAGGCCGACCAGGGAACCCTCCAGTCGGCATGGGAGGAACACCACCTGGGAAGCTGGGGAATCCACCAGTAGGGAACGGAGGCGCACCGCCTGAGAAGCTGGGGAAGCCAGGGAAGCCGCCGGTTGGGAAGGGAGGAGCGCCAGTAGGGAACGCGGGGAAACCTCCTGGAGGCGTTGGCATGGGACCGGTGGGGCGGGGGCCAGTGGGGAAGGGTGGGATGCCGACGGGCATTGAGGGAGTGGCTTGGCGTTCGACGATGGGGGCGGCGAGGGCGCTGGGGGGTGTCAGTTGGGGTGCTGAGGAAGTGGCTTGGTAAGGGGCATGTACCCAGCGGCCATGAGGATGACGGTGGTGAGCTTCATAATGTGGGGATGTATAGTTCAGTGAATGAGTAAAGTGGTAACTGTCCGTTGATGTCGATTTAAACTTCTGACACGAGGTTCTCTTATACTCCTGCTCACCCCCAGTCTCCACATCTTCCAGAGCACACGCGTACCTGGCTACCGTGCGTCAGCGTAGATTACCTTCCTTCCCTGTTCCTCCGCCCTCAAGCCCACGTTGATGAATCCTAATATCCCGTATAAGTGCAGCAACGCCATATTTGCCCGGCTATAAAAGCCCAGAGTTCGGAGAATTCTTTCACTCGCGGAGGTTTGGGGCCGACCGAGCATGTTGAGAGGATATGACGTTGCGTACGCGTTGTGCAGAGAGCGATGCGCCAGGGTGTTTATGGAGAGTAGCACAGTGGCCAATTTATCGGTTGCTTGTGGCCGGGTCCGTTGTCTAATTAAGCTTTGGATTCAGGGCAGAAACAGGCTGTGCAACCGCTGAGGGCATGATTTGAAACAGCTCGTCTATACGATCCAATGGTAGTGGTGATCCTGAGCGTGTGGCCTGAGGCCACTGATGTCTAGTTGGATCGGACTTGCAAGAGGCCTGCAGGTAGAGCTGTGTGGAAGCAATGGTACTCAAATGCCGATAGATACTGCATGCAACCCGACGGGGATGGAATCGAGATTGTTTACTTTGGGTACTAGGATCGAGGACGCGTCTCTCCTAGATAGAGGCGGCCGGGCTGTTTAGCCGATCTCGGCACAGTTCTTTGGCTGTGAAGAACAGAGTAACGTCAAGTCGTTCCCATGAGGCTCCAACGATGGCGTACAGTGCGGCTCGGGTCTCCGCCACGACGGTCAGTCGTGAGCTCATGCAGAACTTAGCAGGAGCAGTTTTTGTGGGTCTCGAGGCGTAAACTCAGAGGACATCGGCAAGTCGGCGTATTCAGAGACCTGGTATGTCAATTGACGACAACGTCATTTGGTCAGCAAAGATAGATCCTGCGAGGCTTGAAAAGACTAATCAAGATCGAACATGAGGTAAATTGATATGAGGGGCAGCGCTGAGCCCCCCGCATTCTCGCATCTCATCGGAGTTCGACTCCGGCAGGCAGTCCCGACCGTTCGTCACAGAAAACTTGATTGGTAAATGAAGAAGAAGTATATGGATGTTGTCGAGAGTAGATGAGATGCGGTCGCAATGAGCCAGTGAACCAAACAGATGAAGCCGTCAAGGTACTGCGATGGCCAGAGATGGTGGTTGGTTGGAATGGGAAAAGCCGTGAACTTTGCCGGGCCGCACCTGCATAATTCTCCTGTTGTGCCGCTAATCCTCGACAAGCAACATAGCCCTGATTGCAGATGTTTGATGCAAATGCTTCTGACGACAGTCGACGGGCGATATATGAAGAAGGCGCGGCTGCTGTAGAGAGTCGCATAGGATAGAGGGTTGTGTAACGTCTCGCGACAACGGTAACAAGACTTTTGTATTGAGCGTTAGCACTAGGTTTGTGAGAAATCCATGTCATCGCACCTTTTGACCCAAATGTGAAGAGCATCTCCATCAGCTCTTGATGAAGTTTTACTGAATTGAAATGATTATTGTTCCACTCATGCAATCATTCTTCCGAACTGTGTGTAGGTCCTCAGTCGTCGTCTTCGATGACTAGACCGATCTCTTCCGCATTCTTAACCTCTCCACCCTCGTTGTTTGCGTCTGCGTCCTCGTCGGTGCCAGTCTTTGGTACATTCGCATTCGGCGCCAGTTTCTTCTTCGTCTTGCAGTCCTCTGCGACTGGCGTCCCATCCCTCTCACTGCCTGTTCCGCCCTTTCCACCCTTCTTGGCTTTCTCTTTCCGCTGTCGCGCCTTCTCGCGCTTCAGCCGGTTCTTCTCCGTCTTCTCCTTGTCTTTCTTTTCCAGCTCCTCCTTCCGCTTGGCAAACTCCTTCTCATCTTCCTCCTTCTTCACCTCCTCATCCATCATCCTCAGCCTCTCATACTCACGCCTCCGACTCGCCTTGTAGACGTGAAACTCGCCACTTCCCGCACCCGCACTGGAACCTTGTACATTGGCGACGATTTCTGGGGGTAGGGAGGATTTGGCTAGCGCGCTGGAGCCTGGGATGTAGATATCGCGATCAGGCTTCGCGAAGAGAGCCTCGACTTCTGAGGCTTGCGCCGAGCGGGGAGTAAGCGCGCGCTTCTTCGTCGGGCGCTGCGAGCGCGGATCGGCGGACGTGGGTATTGATTCGGGGATGGGTTCAGACATGGTGGTGAGACCACGAGAGTCAGCGATGCGATGCGCTGGCCAATAGACGGATTGGCTGGGACTGTGATGTCTTCGTGACGCTGTATGTGGTTGCTCAGAGTTCTGCGACTTCAAAAAGATAATGTGGGTAGTAGCAGCGTGTGCGTGTGTGCTGTCGCGTAATGTAGAAAAAGTGGTGAAGAATGAGGGCTAAGAAACAGTCGCGAGGGATGACGCGCTAGCATTTGCGGCGAACACCTCGGGGGCGCTACGGGCGGCCGAACAAGCCACTTGCGCCAGCGAAGTCGCCGCTATCGTTGGGCTTGCAGCTGCACATGAAACGCCCTTGATCGCACTTTCCCTGCACAGCTGTACATATTCCCTTCCTGCCTCGAAGACACCTTGCTGTACAGCATAATATCAACTACACTTACATCGTCTGCCAAAACCACACCATACACACATCCCACTCTCTTCACCATGGGGAAACCCCGCGTAGGTCCACTTTATCAATACCACCAAGGCCAATGGCTAACTCCCACGCAGATGATCATATTGATCCGCCATGCCCAGTCAGAGGGAAACAAGAATCGCGATATTCACCAGTTCATTCCCGACCATAGAGTGAAACTGACGCAGCATGGCTGGACTCAGGTACGCCTATCTTCTCGTGAGAGTTGAGACGAGACATGACTAACTCATATGATTGTAGGCAGAAGAGGCAGGACGACAGCTACGGTCTCTCCTCAAGCCAGACGACACCCTCCAGTTCTTCACCTCACCCTACCGTCGCACGCGCGAGACGACCGAAGGCATACTCCGTACCCTGACCTCCGATGACCCAACACCATCGCCCTTTCCTCGCAATAAGATAACCGTCTTTGAAGAGCCCCGGATACGCGAGCAGGACTTTGGCAACTTCCAGCCATGTTCAGCCGAGATGGAGCGCATGTGGCAAGAGAGGGCCGACTATGGACACTTCTTCTACCGCATACCTGATGGCGAGAGTGCGGCTGACGCGTACGACCGAGTCAGTGGCTTCAACGAGAGCCTGTGGAGATCGTTCCAGGACGACAACTTTCCCAGTGTATGCGTTCTGGTCACACACGGGCTGATGTCGCGTGTCTTCCTTATGAAATGGTGAGGCGCATAACAATCGGGTCAATAGTCCGGAACTAACACGCTCCAGGTATCACTGGTCCGTCGAGTACTTCGAGGATCTCCGTAACGTCAACCACTGCGAATTCATAATCATGAAGCGAAGCGAGAACAACGGCCGATACATCCTCCAAAACGAGTTACGAACATGGTCGGAACTCAAGCGCCGTGCTGCGAAGGAGAAGGAAGAGACAAAAAGCGCCACCTCATCTACGCCGAGCAGGGCCACACCTTTGACTGGACTGGGCCAAGGCAGCGTCACCGCATCTCCCACCATACCCACGCGCCGATGGGGAGGATGCGTCAACGGATGTGACCATGACAAGATTAACTACCCCCGTCGGCCGATGCGCAAGAATACTATGGAGTATATGGGACAATCGCAACAGCTGCCCCCGCCGGCAGTCTCACACATGGAGCCTGTAGAAAGCGAACAGGAGGACCATCCAGTGGCAGCGCAGCAGACAGAACACGCTCCCATAATCAACGAGCCCTCGCCGGCGAAGCTATCCCGGAAGCAGAGTACTAAGGGTGCCACGATGCCGGAAATGCCCCCAACGCCAGCATCCCCAAACGATGCCTCCAATGACGCGACAAGCAGTGACGAAGGGGAAGCAACATCGTCCATGTCACGCTCAGGTAGCCATGCGCAGCCGAGAACCGCAGCTGTCCTCCGCCACCTACAACCTCATAAGACACCAGGCGAGGGTTTCTCGGATGATTCCGACTACTTCCCGGGCATGCAACAAATACAACACCGCAAGTTCCTCCGAGCGAGCTCTACGCAGCGCAGACAATCCAAAGAACGCAAACTGCAGCGCAAACAGACAGAGCAGAGCTGGAAAGAGGAATCCGGCATGGGTAACGGCGTCAGGACGGATAGATTAGGCGACGGCGATGCCACCAGCGATGACGCTGCGTTCGCGAAGGAGAAGGAAGGCGAACCAATACTGTCGGAAGCGTTAAAAGGCAACATGATTGTCGAGAATAGCGAGGAGGATAGGGAATCTGGGGAGGAAGAGAAGAAGATTGGCGAGACGGAGATTGACAAGATGCAAGACGCGGAGAGAAAGGGCTTTGGTGAGGTATATTAAGCATCTCGAATGACTGGTATGTCGAGGACGAGTTGGACGACGACACGGCTGTAGTAACACGTACCACATGTCTCAAACGATTTTACGGCACAATATCGAATCGAGCAGGTCTCGTAGATCTTTCACATTAAGCAAATGCCCACGGTCTGGTTGGGTCGCTTGCCTCGATCCCGGTACGCTTTACTTGGTTCCATCTCAACCAGGAGTGCAGTACTATGTCCTAGAGGCGCCAATGCTGCTGCCTTGGGAACATTCGCAAGTACGCACTCTTGCTTTCGCATAAATCTCTCACTCGCGCAAACGCAAACGCACTTTCCTCACTTGCTGTGGACCCACTTTCCGCATCAGGTGGCTTGCCAAGACCACTCCTGCTATTCTCACTCACTTCGCTTCTGTGATCTCTTCGCTCTACTTCGCAGTCACTTGAAGGAGCCCATTTTCTTGGGAACCGTTACACGACAAGCCACATACAACATGCAAAAGCCCGGGAGTGACTCCGCAGCTGTTGCGCCTACGCCCACCCCGCCTTGTCAAGGTCGCGCTGTCGGCTTTCTGGACTTATCTGGGGGTGAGTCAAGAATTCGAAACCAAATCCCACAGTTGCTAATCAGATCTAAAGAACTCCGCAACTACATATACGAGTATGCAGCGGAGGAGAGCACTTTGGTGAAGCTCTCGCACGAACCTAGCCTTACTAAGAACAACATCGACTATATCGCTCAAGAACGTACGCTCCTAGGTCTCACACGAACCTGTAAACAAGTCCGGGATGAATTCCTGCCTATCTACCTCGGAACTACCACTATCGCATTTCCATACTACCAGGTCGATCAGTACATCTCCACGTTTGTCGACCCACAACGTGGCACCTTCGACGATGCGGTCGGTAGTATTATCTTGCTGAGGCCAAGGGTTTTAGCAACACGTCTTCCCGTCAATATACTCCCATTGGTGAAAATCATCGCTCGGGCGCCACGCTTGGTTGCACGCTTTCTCAACGAAGACACCGATGACTTCCGCCAAAACAGCTTGTTCAACTCGCTACTCAACACCCATCACGACCCCCGCTGGGACGTCTACGCAGCAAGCTCGCTTTCTCAGATCACCATTAGCAGTCGTACGAATGAAGGTCTAAAGGCCACAACCGTGGTCAAGAAAGAGTGTGCGGAAAGCTGGATGGGTCTCAACTTCTATAGGACACCTAAGTGTCTCGACGCAGCAATGGCCTGGAGTAAACGTGTTGGTCTCAACAGGAATAGCAGCAAGTACACTTCGTCCCTCTATCACTTTGGCCAGATAGTTCCGGAAGATTCTGCGACGCCAGCGAAGCTCGACAGTGAATGAGGGCATGTCGTATGTATTTACATCCAAGGGAGGGGAATGGAAGACGTCAAGGTGCACATTGAAGTCGAGGAAGAGTATGGCGAGTCTTAGATGCAGCGTTGGAGGGAGGGTAGTGACGACTAGGAGCGGCTGCATGAGTGGCTGCCAACGGTCGGACTGTGGGATCTAGTAGGACTGCATGAATTGAGGATTTACTTGGCGAAGCCGTGGTTGGAGGAGTGGTTTGAATAGTAGCAATGAGGAGAATATTGAGCTGCGCGTTCGACGACTGTCTTGCAGACTGACCACGCAATCAATCGGAGCAGATGCACATATCGGCGCAGCGGTACGGTGTGTCGGTGTCCGTTGGGTACTTGGCATGTTTGCTCATCTTCGAGAAGCATTGTATCGCGTCCACTGCAGGCATTCTGGTCGGCGAGGTAGCTGCGGCATGCAGATCCAACTCGGAGAATAATCTGAGATAAGCGGGCCGCGTATGCAAGAAATATGCAGCGGTGTGAAGCTGTTGTTGTTCGACAAAGGTAAACAGTCGTTCGCGAGAAGAAGTGACAAAAAAGTGAAGTCAGTCGCCTCCGTGATGGACCATCGATGAAGTTCGCGCCAGTAGCCGCCACCCGGCATTCGCATCCGTCCGTCGCACGGAGCCCTTCTAGAAACCCATCTAGACACCCACACCAACTTTACCTAGCGGACCACGTTAGTAATTCATTCCATCACGAAGGAACGCCGTGGTAATTCCGACGTTGCGAGGCTTCGGTCGCCGACTACTCTCCAAGACCCCGGGCACGATGACACTCGCACTCGCTGCCGCCTCAGCGCAGAAATCATACGATATCCCACATCGTGAAACGCCTCGTCGACTCTGCATCATCATGTTCGCGGGTACACAAGCCTCGTCCTGCAGTCGCGCAAGCCATGAACCGGGTAAAGTTCCCATGTGCTATCCCTGAGGCGCGTTCTCGTCGCCGACGACCCACGCGCCTACCACGCGCGAGCCATGCTTAGTACCCACGCTAGTCAATTTAGGGGTGTATGCGTATCTGCTGCCGGAGCGCCACCAGTCCGCCTCCACGATATATCCATCGTCGGGATGATTGCATTCTCGGCTAAGTCCACGTTTGCAGCGCGAGGTCGCCGACTAGGGAAAATGTCTACACGGCGATTGGCACATGGGCCCGTTAGCGAGGGAAGATCTGGTCTAGTGACCTAGTCCTTCATAATGAGGTGGTCTACAAACGGCTTGTTTGTCCTTCGCTGGCAGGGGTTTTCTTTGATTTTGCTGCTTTCGTTCTGCTGATGCACCTTACGGGACAAGTCCTTCGCTAGAGCGAGATTCTTTAAGGGACGGGACCCGACGAACCAAGAATACCGGTATCAAGAGGATGTTTACACCCGTCGAGACTTCCATCGGCGCATTTCTGCTACACCAAGCGACTAGCAACCTCCTCTATCAGAATGGCGATATCCTGGGGCTCAGCGGCTATCTGCGTCGACTCTTCTCTGCGCCTACGAAGGAACTGCTCGCGTTCTTCACGGGCATGGCTGCCAGCTATGTTCCGTTGAAGGCATTAGCACCGCAGTTGATCACGGAGTATCCTGCTGTACAGACCAGTCCACAGAGTGCTCTGTTTACGCTAGCGATTGGTGCTCTGATAGGATGGGGGACGAAGGTAAGAAACCTCTGATACAACAATTTTCACTACTAACGCGAACGGCCAGATGTCGAATGGATGTACATCCGGACACATGCTGTGTGGACTCCCCAGACTAAGTGGACGCTCAGCAATCGCAGTTGCTACCTTTTTTCCCTCGGCGATCATAACACATCACCTCGCCAATCCAAGCCTATCGAATCCGATGTGCCCCGGCAGTGCACCATGCTACAAGCCCGTGTATCCGTCAACTGAGACGACCGCATCTCTTCTCGTACTTGCCGTATTCAGCATCTTCGCCGCGCGAACCATACCCAAACTCGTAGCCCAGGTCACGGTCGCACCCGCAGCCAAGGACGCCAAACACCAGCCTGCGGATACACATACTGCTGCACGCCTTACCACGCAGTCCTTCTCGGGCCTACTTTTCGCCCTCGGTCTTCACATCTCGCAGATGTCACATCCAGATAAGGTGGCCGCTTTCTTCTCTTTTCCAGATTTGCAACACTGGGACCCGTCACTCGCTCTGGTCATTCTCTTCGGCGTCCTACCCAACTTGATCGAGAACCAAATGAAAGGCTTCACCAGCCCGCCATCTTTCGCTGACAAGTTCTCGCTACCTACGAAGACGTTGCAAGATGTGGATAGCAGGTTCATCGTCGGCGCTGCGGCTTTTGGTGTTGGATGGGGCTTAACAGGAATTTGTCCTGGTCCGGCGGTGCTTCGAGCCTTCTTTCAGCCGGCTTGGGGAGCGTTGTGGGTTGGTGGCTTCTGGTTGGGAGGTAAACTGAACATTTGATCTGGTTCCAAGCTTGTTTCTTTACTTCGAATTGGGGGCTTTTTGCGTTACACGATACCCTATATGAACTCCTGCGCATCATTTACCATGAGGGCTGGACGACGATTGTGGAAGATGTTAATATCCAGATATGATATGCCAGTCTGATGGCGTCGGTAGTGCTTGAATGATGAAACGAATGGGTTGAGGTGCTCGCGCTTCGAATGAAATACGCCTTTGTACGTATCGCTGTTATTCCTGGAGTTGCACGGAAGCCATTGATAGATCTTTTTGTCGCTCTGGGGGAAAGTAGGTGCGTAAATTTGGATCTGTATGACGAACTGCTCAGTTGGGGAAGGAGGAAAGAACAGCCCGCGAACCATAACCACTTGGAGACGTTGCACAACAAGAGCGCACCCCTCAGTGACGCAAGGTCTGGGAACTGCATAGATCTCTCGCCTTTTTTTTTTCATTTCACTACATACGCAGTGAAGGTGAAGGCGGGAGCTACGCACCAAAAATAAGTTCAATCCCGCTTGAGTAGTACGCCTCTGATTCCAGCACCACCCTGGTGTTTCTCTCTCTTACCTTACACTCATCAGCAACAAACTTGAAAAGTATGCGGATCCGCCAATTCGTCAGGCTTGCTGGCTTGTTCGCTGCCGTTGCAGGCGAGATCTGTCAAGAGTAGGCATTTCCCAAGTAACCCGCCTTCCGTCCCGGCGGGTTTGATAGTCCTTGTACCAGCGTCTTGCTTTGATGAAAAGTCTTGCAGCTGACTTTGACATCCAGCTGCTCGAACGATGTTCGTCTATCCACTAATGTCACGATCCTCGAGGCGGAGGGCAAGGTTTTCGCCGCCGCTGGGCCTCCGCCTCCGCCCTCTCGGCCTCCTCCGTTCCTTCCGCCGCCCCCTGTACCGCAACGACCAGATGCGACTGATGAAGTCTGGGATAGGTGCAGGAGAAAGGGATGTACGCTCTCGTGGGCGATGAGCCACGACGACAGCGAAGTCGGACCCCAGTACGACCCACAACGTACCACGGCGGCAGCACAGTACCAGAGCTACGAGGATCTCTGGGGATGGGGCTGGCGTCCTTATTATTTTGACTCAAACTTCTCCGAGGATTATTATTTCGACCTGTATAAGACATGGGGTATCGGGTGGGCACTTGAAGCGCTCGGACTCAACCCGTGGGCAACCAGATTCCAAGATGGCGAGAACCACATCGTCGCCTATCAGCACAAAATACCCGAAGATGTCCTCCCCCTCGAGGATCAAACGTACATTGTTAACGGCAAGGAGTACCGGGCTACAGGTGCTGATTTTACCTTCTCACTCAACACCAAGGACGGCGTCATTATAGGCATGGACCGTACAAGCCCCAAGGAAGCAGGCAAGACGAAGGTATCGCCGCCAGTTACCGGTGACGGACTGCCGAAGCTCAACCAATTTTCAGACGTGGCGTGGCTGGAATGGCAACACATGATGAGCCAGAACAATGGGGACATCAAAAACATCCATTACTTTGTGTCTATATTGGTCGTCAACCCAGAGACTAGAGCAGTGGTGGCGAGAGCATTGCGCACTCGAAATAAAAGGTTTCTAGAAGATTTTCCAGGGGAGACGTTTGAACGGGGGACAGACGAAATGAACGCAATCATGGGTAAGTCTTGCGCGTTCCAGTAGTGATACAGGAGGTTCTTCGTTTTTCCAACAGCTAGGAAGCGTTGACTAACATGTAGCCAGGCACACCGAACATCCAAGGCTTCGCATATATGCTTGTTCAGCATAAAGCGCAGCTGGGCAACATGTACATCAAGAAGATCCAAGTCTTCACGTGCCAGACGGCGGCCGAGCCTCCTTGTATCATCGCGCATGTATCCAAGCCAGACGTCTGGGTTGACCCCGGGGGCGGCGAAGTCGTCAGACGCGACGGAGGCCACAACGTAGCGCGTATGCACAGGATCTTCGCGAAGCTGTGAAGTGTCAGTATTTGCGTGGCGTTGTAGTGGAGGATATAGGGCAGCTAGGTCTATGGGTAGCAGTAATGTACGACAGTCATCGCTGTGTTTAGAAGTTCGACGCAGATTGGCTGGTAATGTGTGTAGCTTTCTTGTTCACGAGCATGCATTGTCGCATTAATGGCTGGGAGCGGGTGGGAGTGGAAGTAGAAGCGCTGTGGACCCTGAGTGATGCAGCCCTACCAAAAAAGTCTTGAGCCCCGCCACATGATTCCACCCAACCCCGCGACGCGCTCAACCACGACATAGACGCGCAAAATGGAAGACGACAGAGCTGCGACCAACTTGGGGCCCGATGCCGAGCAGGGCATGCCGGAGGAGGCTGTGCCCGTGCAGAAACAACCGAAGCGACGTTTTGTGGGCAGAAAGACGGCGGAAAAGGCGGGCGAGCAGCAAGCGGATCCCAATGCCAACATTGAGGATTCCAGCGCGATACAAGGTGTGAGGAGCCCATACACGGACTGTCGATAGCGCAGACAGCTAACGCCCCTTCAAGTTGCCCAGCCTCGACGTACTGCTCGTGTCTTGAACGCCATCCCCAACGACATACTCCACGACCAGGAGATCAACGACGCGATCGCCCTCCTGCCTCCAAACTACAGCTTCGAGATCCACAAATGTATACATCGCATACGGACATCTGGCGCCAAGTCGATAGCCCTGCAGTTCCCCGAGGGCCTGCTGCTATTTGCGACGACTATATCCGATATCCTGACGCGATTCTGTCCCGGTACTTCGACGCTGATAATGGGTGATGTCACGTACGGCGCGTGCTGCATAGATGATTACACCGCAAGAGCGCTGGGATGTGACCTTCTCATACACTACGCACACAGCTGTCTGATACCGGTAGCAGTAACGAAGATCGCGACACTGTACATCTTCGTCTCCATCAGTATCGATACCCAACATCTGATCAATACTATCACCGAGAATTTCCCCGTAGGAAAGACCATGGCGTTAGTTGGCACCATTCAGTTCAACGCTACAATACATGGCATCGTGCCGATACTACGGAAGGAAGGATATAATCCGTTTGTGCCACAGATCGCGCCTTTATCCAAGGGCGAGATTCTGGGCTGCACGTCACCGTCGATGGCCATCAAGCCGGGCCAACTCAATGCGCGAGGCAAAGAAGAGGAAGTACCAGACATGATACTATATCTCGGCGACGGACGCTTCCACCTCGAGAGCGCTATGATCGCCAATCCACATATACCCGCTTACCGCTATGACCCATACTCGCGGAGGCTGACACACGAAACTTATGAACACGATTCACTATACGACTTACGCCGCACAGCTATTCTCACAGCTCGGAAAGCTCGCACATGGGGCGTTATCCTCGGTTCGCTAGGACGGCAAGGCAACCCACATACACTGACTCTCATCGAAAACGAGCTGGCACGCCAAGGCATAAAATGTATAAATCTACTAATGTCAGAGATCTTCCCTGGAAAGCTGGCGATGATGTCTGATGTAGAGGCTTGGGTACAGATTGCATGTCCTAGATTGAGCATTGATTGGGGTTACGCGTTTCCGAGGCCGTTACTAAGTCCTTATGAGGCGCTTGTTACGCTTGGAGTAAGAGACGCGCCATGGTTAGAGGAGGATGATACAGTGAGGAGATTCGAGGCGAAAGACAGAAAGAACCTCTACCCTATGGACTTTTACGCGAAGGAGGGGTTGGGACGGACTACGGTCGATCACGTGAAAGCTGCCGAAGTGGCACTCAGGGCGTGAAGAAGTACCAAGTATGCATTAGATTGGCATCTGTCTTTGGTCATTTAGGTTATATGTCGACGTTTGCATGGTGTTCAACGATTCTGCGGCTCCTCCGTGTCTCCACGTCTCGGGAGTCAGTTGGGATGAGCTATGGTTGCCTGCCGCTTGCTCTCCTCTTTCACCGCGACGCCATGAAAGAAACACTCCCCGCTAGCAAAATCAAAAGCACGGACATTCGCGATATCACCGTTAGGCTCCCATCTTGCCCGATTGCTCTCTACAACACAGTGACCGTTAACCTGGGATCTTCCATCACACTGCGACCGATTGATCTGCAATTCGCTGCTGCTTGACCGGCGCGACCATGTCATCAGAAACAGGTCCATCACCCGTTTTCCAGACAGACACCATCCCGTCCAGTATGACTCTACCTCCGGCCACACCGACTCCTCTAAAGCGGAAGCCATCAGTCAACTCCTCTCCTCCTCGGGAGTCTCCAAAGAGACAGCGACTGGACTCACAAAAACCGTCCACCGAAGAGGCCCTACGCTTTACAAAGCACTACGCCGTGTACTCCCACAACCTCCTCGAAGACCCGAAGACGGCCAGTCACCAGCTCCTCAGCGCGTCCCCCGTCTTCGAGACCACCCAAAAGGCTATGCGTGAGCATGCCACCCGAGAAATCGAAGCAAACGTAAAATGGGGCGGAACAAAAGAGCTCAGCACCAACCGACTCTACGAGATCCTCGACAGCAAAAACCATGTCGTTCTACGCTACGAAATGGACATTGTCTTTCCCGCCGCCGAAGACGCGGACGGCGTGAAGCAGTGGAGCCGCGCGAGCGAATTGGACGCTTTGCCAGTGCAGTACGGTCTATGTGTTGAGTATCTTAATAACAACTACGAGGAGGATGAAGGAGCAGAGCGCTCCTTGATCGTCACTTTTGGTAGTTTAGGCGAAGCCAAACACGCCATGAAGAAGTCGGCGGCGGCGTACATTGGCAGCTCCAGTGGAATCAAGGTGTCTGAGAGGCGGATTGAGATGGTAGGGGCAGAGGGAGAAGTCATTCGACGGTACAAGATCGAAGAGGGGAGGAGAGATGCACAGGGTAGGTTTATACGGGAAGAAGACTTGTATCTTGAGCTGAGCGGTGCAGATTCAGAGGTACCTGCCGACCTTCCACCCGCGCCCAAGACATTGGAGTCGTCTGCACCGCCATCTCCTCAGCCGATTCATGCTCTAGCCATTACTGCAGTCGTACGCCAAGCTACACCAAGAGTCGCAACAAACAGTCCCGCTCCTGAGACCCCCGAACCAGAAGCCGCTCCCGGTACACGCCGCCAGTCTGCTCGAATTAAAGTCGAAACCCAGGCTGCTAAGGATATGAAGGAAGAGCAACTTAAGATCGAGCCCAAGCCCAAGCCTCAGCCTAAACCAAGGGCTCCAGCTCAACTCAAGCCCCCAGCAAAGCCCAAAACGCCAGCTAAATCTAAAGGCAAAGGCAAAGTTCCAGCCCAAGAACCAGTCGATACAACCCCTCACTGCACTTGTCGCGGCCTTGACGACGGTAGCTTGATGATCGGCTGTGACAATGACGCTTGTCCGATCGGTTGGTATCACGGTCGTTGTATCGGCATCTCCAAGGCGATTCCGAAGAACAAAGAATGGTATTGTGCCATGTGTACGAAAGATATGGGGAACAAGAAGGGTCTAGATGTCGAAGCGGTGCATGCGAAGACGCCTGTGAAGAAGAGAGGTGGTGGCGGTAATATGAAGGCGAAGGCGAAGGCGAGGAACAGGAAGTCGGGATAGGTGGATTGATGTGAAGGTTGGTTATAGTGACCGTGGACTTGTGCGCGAATTGGCGTAGCCGTCCTGGGGCTTCTTAGTATGTATGATGTAATAGTAATTCAGTATGTAAATAGACGATCTTACCGTTCACGACGGCACTCCACTAAACGTTCCCATGTTTTACCACCTGCCCAACTATGTTTCGTTCACATACGCTTCCGGTCTCCGATACTGCGCCGGTGTCTTGATAACGCGATGCAACAAGGTATGTCCAAAGCACGAGCTGATAAGGAAGAAAATGATAATGCCAATGGTGGTAGTGTCCATTTCCGGTTGACGTGCCTGCATACAACGTCTGATCAGTTGAAGAAGATGGGTGATTCTCGCACGCCGTGTTAATGTTCAGCGCTTTGATATGAGAGAGACGTCGTCACAGGATGTAGAGAATGGAGTGGCAGTGGAGGTAAGTGTGTCTGTGGCCATGAGGTGGGCGCATACCACGAGGCGGCAGTGACACATGGATGTCGGTGTCAGCAAACGCCTTCCGCTTCTTAACCACGTGGAACATGGCTTTGTCAGCTTCTCGCTTTGGGAGGACAGGATCTGCTGATTTGTGAAAGAGCATTAGCACTGTCGGTATGTAATCCATTCAAATTGAAGCGCGTAGTGGGTATCGTATTCGCTATGCAAGACGCCAAAAGATGCCAAGTATGCAGTCAGTTCTTGTCCGCTGCTACATCCAAAGCTGCGCTCAGTCAATCTCCGGCATCAACTCGTCGTCATCGACGAGATCTGGATCAACCTTGCTTCCTAGGTCGGTATCTTCCAGAAACGTGCGCCCGCGAAGTGCTTCCGGCAAGTACTCTTGTTTCACTTTGCCGTCTAGGTAGTGCGGGTTGTATTTATATCCCTCTCCATAACCCAAATCCTTCATCAACTTGGTCGGCGCGTTGCGTATGTGATGTGGTATAGGCAGTGCAGCGACTCCCGGCTCCTTCAACGCATCGTAAGCGTTGTTCATACCCCGGTATGCGCGCGTTGATTTCGGCGAGAGGGATAGGGCGGTCACTGCGTGGGCGAGGTTGATGCGGCATTCTGGCATGCCGATCTTCTCACAGGCGGAGTATGTGGCTGTCGCGAGGGAGAGCATCGAGTTGTCTGCCAGTCCAACGTCTTCGGATGCAACAACGATAAGCCGGCGGGCTATGTATCGCGGGTCCTCGCCAGACTCCAGCATACGTGCTAAGTAGTATAATGCCGCGTCAGGATCGGAGCCTCGTATTGACTTGTGTAGTGCGGATATGCTGTCATAGTGTTGGTCACCGGCGCGGTCGTATACGAGGGTTTTGGTGAGACTCTGCTGTATCTTCTCTTTAGTCATGTCAGGCTGCTTCGCAAGGTTCATGGCGAGTTCGAGGAGATTCAGGGCTGTTCTCGCGTCGCCGTCGGAGAAGCGGGCGAAGTATTCCAGCATCGGCTTGTCTAGGATCGGGGATGTGACGTTGTCTGCGGCCATCGCACGCTCGAGTATTCGTACCAAGTGGTCTTCCTTGAGGTCGTCTAGCGTGAAGGTCCGACATCTTGACAGCAAAGCTGAGATGACCTTGAATGATGGGTTCTCGGTTGTTGCGGCTATGAGGGTTATAGTGCCTGACTCTACAGGCCCAAGAAAGGCGTCTTGTTGTGTCTTTGAGAAGCGATGCAGCTCGTCGCAGAAGACGATGGTCTTTCGACCTGTCAGCTGTAGGTCTCTGAAGGCCTCTGCGAATATCTTGCGCACTTCCTCCAACTTTGTGCTTGTGCTGTTGATCTCGACGAAGCGTGAGCCGGATGTGTTGGCGATGAGTCTGGCGATCGTGGTTTTTCCTAGAGAATGGGTAAGCGTCAATTGGAGCGCGAAAGATATAGAGAAAGTAGTACCTGTTCCCGGTCTTCCCCAGAGTACCATTGATGGTAGTCTGCCTTCATCGACCATGCCTCGAAGGACGCCGCCTGGCCCCACCAGCTCTTGACCATATACATCATCCAATGACATTGGCCTCATGCGCTCCGCCAGTGGCATAGCATCTTCGACAGCCTTGAGCTTCCGCGCCCGTTTCGGGGCAGATGGTGATTGTTGCTCGCCATTGGCTTGTGTATCCGACGCTTCTTCGAGAGGCCGTTTCGTACTTGGCGGGGGAGTCTTAGATATCTCTATCCGCTGCGTAGCTGTCGGCGGTGCTGGCTGTGCGGGTGGTGACGATGTTGGGTGTCCACTCTTCTGTGTCGCGCCCGGAGGTTTGCGTGCGCCCGGCGTAAAGAAGCTATACGCCTTGCCCAGGTTTGGCGTGCCCTGGGGTTCTGGCTCGAGCAGGAACTCCTCGCAGCCGCTGTCGATGTGTTCGTTGATTCGGGCGTCTTTGACAGCCTTAGTGCAGATGGGGCAGTCGACCATGTCGAAGATGAGTGGCTCGGCGCACGCGACGCGAATTATTCTGGGGTAACGCGACGAGCGAGGCCGGCGCTATCTCGGATTTGTCCCCGCTTGATGACGGCAGACGACGGACTGGAGCACGCAATGCTAGACGCTGCAGTTCGTGACTCTTCTGGGTTTACTCATCTTCCAATGCCATTGCCATGCGAAGTATCGTGACTCCGGCTCTAAGATCCATCCGAACCTCCCCAAAGAGACAATCCGCAGCTCCAAGGTGCCCCACCAGCTGTCCCCCTCTCCGCGCTATGTCAGCGACAACACGAAGGGAAGACCCCTTCAAGCCCGCGAAGAGAGTAGCGGGCCAGAAGCAGGATGTCTGGTAGGTCAGTTGATCAAAGTATGCGACAACAGCTAACAGCCACAGGTCTATCGTCAATGAAGCTGCCGCGGCCTCGCCCGTGCAGCCCATCGTCAACATGGGCCAGGGCTTCTTTGGCTACAACCCTCCCAAGTTCGTCCTCGATGCCGCCAAGGCTGCGCTCGATCAAGTAGACTGCAACCAGTACTCGCCCACCAAAGGCCGCCCGCGGTTAAAGAAGGCCATTGCCGATGCCTACTCTCCCTTTTTCGGCCGCACGATAGATCCCGACAAGGAAGTCACAATAACCACAGGCGCAAATGAAGGCATGCTCAGCGCCTTCATGGGTTTCTTAGAAGAGGGGGACGAGGTCATCGTGTTCGAGCCCTTCTTCGACCAGTACATTAGCAACATCGAGATGCCAGGTGGGAAGGTCGTCTACGTGCCTCTTCACCCTCCCAAAGACGGCGCGACCAAGACTACTTCTGCAGCCGAATGGAGTTTGGACATGAAGGAGCTGGAAGCTGCCATTACACCCAAGACGCGCATGATTGTCATCAACTCTCCACACAACCCCATTGGCAAGGTCTTTTCCAAAGAAGAGCTGCAAGCCATCGGCGATCTCTGCGTAAAGCACAACATCATCATCCTCTCAGATGAAGTCTACGACCGTCTGTACTACGTTCCCTTCACACGTGTCGCTACTCTGTCACCTGAGATCGCCAAACTCACATTGACAGTCGGTTCAGGAGGCAAGAACTTTTACGCTACCGGTTGGAGAGTAGGCTGGCTGATCGGACCCGAGCATCTGATCAAGTACGTCAGTGCAGCGCACACAAGAATCTGCTACAGCAGTGTCTCGCCACTTCAAGAAGCCACCGCAATTGGGTTCGAGCAAGCTGATGCCCACAACTTCTGGGACGAGTCGAAGAAAGAGATGAAGGCTAAGATCGACAAGTTCACCGCGGTCTTCAATGAGCTTGGGCTACCCTACTCGGATCCCGAAGGCGGTTACTTCGTCTTGGTGAACATGTCCAAGGTCAAGTTGCCAAGTGACTATGAGTTCCCTCCTCACGTTGCAGAGAGACCAAGAGACTTCCAGCTCAGTTGGTTCCTGATCAAGGAAGTCGGAGTAGCCGCTATCCCTCCAACCGAGTTCTTCACGCCAGGAAACGCGCACATCGTGGAAGATTGGCTACGGTTCGCCGTGTGCAAGAACGATGACGTACTGGAGCAGGCCATGGAGAGGCTGAGGAGTCTTAAGAAGTATATTCAGGAATAAAACCACCACATCGCTGATCAGAAATGACAAAATAAGTATTTTCACATTCTCATGGTATTCTTTTCGTGATATGTCCCTCAAGACCGTTTACGGAACCAACCAGGTCTTTGTTTGATTGTGTCTGTCGCCCGTCAATACCGCACCGTCGCACGCGCCTTTCAGTATCCGCCCCACGATTACGTTGCTCCACGTACTCCTCACAAAGGCGACTTGTGTGGAGTAAATATCAGGAATTAGCTCTGAGACCAAATTGACTCACGACCCACTCGCCCATTTGCCAGTCACTCTCTGATTACTTCCCCTTCACCTCCACGACTCCACTCAACCGCTCATTTAGTCACGACCCCCACCACTGGCCTACTTAGTCACTTATTTCCTTCAACCACGTCGCGTCCACGCAACTCAGACAGCGCACCGCTACCAACATGCACATCACAAGCCTGCTGTTCGCCCTCTGGCTACCCTTACTCGCTGTCGCTCTATCACAAAGCGGAAGCCCGGCGACAACGTTCACAACGAAACCATCGCCCATATCTCCGCGGTCCATCTCACCAGCTTTACAAAGCATCTACAATGTCCTAGACATCTTGTCGCCCGGTCAACCTCATCCTACACCTACACCACCCAAGCCCACGTCCACGTCCACGTCCACCACCGAGTCAGGTAGTACATTCATTATTACAACCACACCCAGAGGAGTGGTGCAATCTACTACGTTCACGACGTTACCGCATACAACGACGTCGCTTACCACTACGGTTGTATGGACGACCATAAGCCCGGTCATGGGTCGTGCGCAGCAGCCGGAGGAGACGCGTGAGAAGGCGGCTTTTGCTCCGGTTAACACAGACCTACCTACAGCAAAAGGAGATACAGAGCCGGAAGGGGAGGTTGGAGACAAGGACTGAGGAGACGTTACCATGTGCTGTGTATGTAGCGGAGGTGAAATGCTCTGGAGGGAACGGTCT